GAGACAGAGAGAGAGAGAGAGTATAAAATGTATACTCTCAAGTAAGTCTATGTTTTTTTCCCTGAGATCTTCTCTGTTTGTGGTGTTAATATTAGTTAGTGTGAAAATACATTTCAGAAATGAATGAATTTCTTTCATACTTTGCTTCTTCATTTCTCTTTATGTACGTTGTTTGCTCCATCTCTGAGATTTCCTATAGTGTTTTACTATCTTTGAACTGATTTTCCCATCCAAATCCAATTTAAAAAAAATATATTTTAATACATAATGTTCAATAGAAACCCCCTCCCATAACCTGTAACAACAGGGGGAGAAAAGACTAAATTGTTATAACAAGAATAAAAATAAAAATTGTTTAATAGATAAATGGTAATGTTATAATGGTCATAAGAGGCACTGTTTGCTGGTAGAGGTAGAGGGAAAGTAAGCAATGAGCGTAGCCTTAAGCACAGAATTCAACATATTACAAAACCGACCCTCATATAGTGATATACAACTAAATCTGAGGGTGACATAACAAATAGGGAGGCACAGACCTAGTGGGATCATATGTGGTAGGGATGTAAAGCAATAAATCAATACATAATTAAGTATAAATGAAATAGGATTTGCTCATTTTTGTATCTTTCCACGTTTCCAGAACATATGTGCCAATTTCTGAATAGCATTTAATACATTAAGGAGAGCCCGCTCCAGTAGCTGCTTGAACTGACTTGAACTCCTTCTATTTTATGTACGGTAATCATTTCCAACAAGCACAGAACAAAAGGAATTTCCAGTCATTCTATGTCCACAGTTGTGATACATGTGAAATTGGATTACGTAAACATGAGTTCTACCAATAGCTGGCCAGTGACAATAAGGAGTGTGTTGTGAAACTAGCAAGTCATAGTGAGACAGGGATGACTTTTGACTTCTCAGTGATTATACTCCACATCTGAGTCAGCAAAGGCTTGAGTTCCTTACTGGCATCTTCCAGCTTTTCCAGGAAACTTTATCCTGAACTACATCGCCCACAAAGCTGCCATCTGCTTCAGAAGTCAAAGGAAGCTGCCTGGTCTTTCAAATTAAGGGTTACATTGGTGTCAGTTTAAAGCACAGTGGTGTCCGTTTACTACAGACAGATTATATCAGTCATAAGCAGGGAAGCTAATAGATTAAAATTACAAGACAGAGGAAGAGAGCAGACTGAAGTCCACTGTTTTCTCTAGTTTCATCATTTACTGTTGCAAATGTTACTTCCTTATTGCAGGGTGGTTGAGTAAAAAGACTGAACAGTTGCAGGTTGTTTGTTGCAAGATATTCAAACCACTCTTCTGTACCTGCTCCTTCACCATGTCTAAAAAAAACCCCAATGTACTGGCATCGCAAACACTGCCTCCAAAATCAACTGTTTTCCCATCCACACCCAGTCTCTCAGACATAAAGGACAGAGCTATCACACGCCTAGCACTCACGATTGCAAATGACAGTGATCCCCCCCTCAAATAACACCAAAACTTAAAATGGAGAAGAGCTCAATTCACTACAGAGAGACATTACAAATACCGACCCAAAACAACCACATAGAGCACACAATTACAAAGATACACGCAACAACCACAAAAAGACACACAACATGTCACAAGTTGTTTAATTGGGCAGTTTCAGAGAAATGAAATACATTCAGTGGATGATCAGCCCCTCAGTGCAGCGTGACCTGGTGGTCTAACACTGCAATCCTTCCTCGTTCCTTTGGTCGTCTGAGGGTGGAAATAATGTGTAGATAAGGTGAGTGGACTAAGCATTACACAGGTAGCAGGAGCTCAGGTGCCTTTCAGCTCTGAGGCCCTCAGCACGGCCTCACACACATTTAAACAGAGCTCTGTTTCTGTGCGCTGCTGGAATAACAAACACCAGCGAATCAATTAGCCTGCTCATATCGCTGATAGGTTGTCTTCAATAAAAACGGGTGTCAGCCAAAAGAAAACTCATCAAAGCCTGAGCTGTCATGGCAACCCGTGCAGGTGACAGTGTTTTCAGATGTGAGCCGGTGAACCCAACAAAGGCTTCATACCAGCCCAGATGCTATTGATCAAGACCGCCACTTGTGGAGGCTGAATAGTGGCACAGAAACACACACACACAGAGGAAATGATGCTATTATTGCTCCAAGGCTCTCTGATGTAGACGGCGTGAATAGGCTGCCCACTCCAACGAGATCATTTTGATCCACTGTACCTGTGTATGAACAGAACTCAAAATATCCTCCCACCATCTCTTTGTTATTTCAACTGTGCTGCAGCGGGAGACATGAGGGCCCCCGGGACTATGAAATGAATATTGTGAAATAAGTTAAGAAACTCCAAAGATTATTGTTAATATCTTCACTGCAGAATGAACCTGAAGAGTAATAATCCAGGCTCACATCCAGGCATAGTTAGGTATAGCTAGGTAGCATGCTATAGCCGTGGATGTATAAGTTATAGCTAGGTAGCAACCTTGTTACAAATGAAAACAACCAATCAGAGCCAAGAGAGATATAAAGACGCTCTGGATTGGTGGCTTGAAAATTTTGATTGTTGAGGGTTATTCCCAGGGTCCCAAAACATCTGTATTCGACACCATGTAAAAGATTCAACAATTACCAATCTTCCTCGCCTCTGATTGGTTGTTTTCATTCAGGCCCGGTGAATTCCTGCAAATACCATTGGGAGCACTAGGAGGAGCCAGAGGAACTGATTTTTTTCACAGGTCATCTGTCTCATGTTCAACTGTCAGGATATAGTTAAAGTTTCAGCAAATATGACAGAAAATATTTTTATAAAAGTTACCTACTGCAGCTTTAAATACTTTCACAATTTATTGGGTAATTTATATATTTTGCAAAATGTATTCATTTGAGATTATTTATCCCATGATGTCTTTACTTAGTATTGAACACTGATATTGGGCTCCATACAGGAAAACACAAAGACCTGGTCTGAATGGAATTCTTTGTAATGTCAAAACTTGTATTACCACTATTAATACAAGTCCCCATTTACAAAAGAATTTGGTTCAATATCAGAGCTGAATATATCATGTGTAACTGATATGTGCCCTTGAGCGAGGCACCTAACCCCAACAAATTGCTTATGGGCGCCACTAACTAGGCACTCCACCATCTCTCTCCCTGTTTGTATGTCCACAAGCCCCTGCATGTGCATGAGTGTGCGTTTCGGCCTTTGTATGTATAAAAAAATTGTGTAAAAAAGAATTTCCCCAACTGGGGATTAATAAAGTATATATTAAAAATATTAATTAAAAACTATCACAATAGCTATTTTGTGTTGGAGCTGTTAAAGGAGTGCATGGACAAAGTCTTTAGTGGGTGTTGATTGAAATAATTGCAGCAATCCAGTTAGTGTGTTAAAACCCACTAAGCAACACAGGTTTTATTACAAGCACACAATAGAGTACTTGTAAACTCAGTCTAGTTAAATTAAGGAAGGTTATGAGCAGGCTGCTGAGAACTACTAGTGTGTAGGAAATTAATGACACAAAAGATGTTATGATTTCAGGTCAATCTGAAACTGAAAAGTCTGACAAAACTGAAGGGGAATTAATCCTTTATTAAATCTTGAGAGAGTAGTAATCTACAGTGGTTTGACACCAACAAACAAGTCATTTATACAGATGACCAATGTCACTCACTCACAGCAGCCAGAATACTGTCCTCTACAAGATTGAATACATATTTTACATACACATAATGCAGAGGCAAACAGCAAGATGCAACATACAAGCATTAAATTATTTGAGTAAAAACTTGTGATTTTTTTTTTTAAACACAACATCCAGTAAATTTGAGGTTGTGTTTTCCATTCAATTCTGTCTGATAGTGTTGCAGCACAACAAGGTTTGAAAGGTGTACATCTGTCGGCTCTTTATCTCTGCAGACTTGTTTAGATGATCGCTTTGGTAGAAATAAAGGAGTTCTCTTTAAAGGCAGCAAAGACAAGTATTGACAGCAACATGTATACACCTCGATTTCATCTTAAATACCTGGTAAGAGGAATGTGTGGAATGATGAAGGCTCAACACAAGAGACATGGTGACATTTAATCTATACAGACACACACACACACACCAGATTAAATAAATTTCACAAACTGGACCAGACTTCAGAGCCGTGCATCCATTCAAACCCTGGTTGTATGCCAATTGAAATCTGTCTGCCATCCGTACAGTGGGGGTGAATGAGAAGTGTTTGAAGTTGGGGGTTTGGACGAAGGGTTAGAGCCACCACCAGGCGCTTCTGCAGAGGTACATCGATCCTTGCCCACCTCAGTATTTCAGGTTACGGGCCAGGACGTCACCAATAGCCCAAACGCACGCACATACTCAGCAGTAGTGTGTGTGTTGGTGCTCCTCTGAGAAAGGCACACGGGTGGACCCCGGTAAAAATACCAGCAGAGTAACCCCGCTGTTCAGCAGGCTGCCCTCGTATCAGACTACCTCCGCCAGAGCTGGAGACTCGCACATCTTCCGCTCCGGCTTCTGTCAGTCACCTCTTAAGCTCCCAGCGAGCCTGAATGAGCGCTTACGCTGATTCAGGCGCCGGCCGCGCTGTTCGGTTTGTCCTGAGAAACAACCGCCCTGTAAAGTGAGCGGCTGAAGGTGAGGCTGAGCTTAAAAGGTTGACTGAGATGAGAGGTGATGGTAGGAGAGTCTAATATGAGAGCAGCCCGCTAAACGAGCAGGGTTTAACCTCAGCAACCGGACTGGGCGATGTCTCCACCGGAGCTCTTGGTCACCTCCAAAGTGGTAAAGATCTAAAGGAGGAGAGGAAAACACATGTCAGACAGTGCAGCTTTATTATGCAGCTTTTACACACACACACATTTCATATTTAACACTACCTGCAATTAAACCGTTCAAAAATACTGCTGAGTCACTGGATGAATTGAGGCAGTTTTTTAAAACTATCATTCCATTAAAGAATACTGAACACTTGAAAAGGAGCACGAGTCTGCATCCATTTAAAATGTAGATATGTGGCCAAACTTACAAAATGGAAAAATAAGTGATGTAAAACATCAAACAAGAGGTAATTGAGCAGCTTAATGAGCTGCAATTATCACCACACTACATTAACATAATGAATGTGCAATATTGAGGTCTTTAATTAAAGCTAATTAATGCACAGCATGTGTCCCAGTAGACAGAAAACTAAAATATTCATTCAGCTTAAGATCAGCAAAAAACTAAAAACATGTTACACAAACACATTCAATTCTCTCCCTGCATGATAGGCCTCTAAAAAACAGACATGCTAATACTTTAAGCCAGTGCCTGTAGCTGCCCTGTTTTATGTATTCAGAAATCTGTGCCTGGCACAGCGAGGAGCAGACCAATCATTCACACAGAATTAGACTGAAACGATAGAAAAGGGAGGGAGCAGGAAGTATTCCAACAGGAAGCAAAGGTTCACAACCATGGCAAAGCCAGTCCGAGTGCAGAGGGATTTAGACATATTTGTTCCAACTTTTTTGCGCTGTATGTCGTATGCAGGAAGTGCACATCTTTAAAAAAAAAAAAACAAAAAACAAAAAACAAAGCTGGTAATGTTGCAATCTACATTCATACACTGATTTCTGTGAGTTCAACATGTTTGTAGTGCACCTATACTGATTGGTCATCTACTGGTTGTTCCAACTGGTTAGTTAACAGAAGCCTGTTGCAGAAACATCAATGTTTTGTTATACTGTGTAGTGTAGTATTAGGGTCTGTTTCATAAGGACATTTTAGACCCGTCTGTAGTGTTAGGACAGTCTTCATGTTGCTCTTAGATCAGTCTGATGCAAGCTGGAAAGTTACAAAAATAAACAACGACTTATTTTGAGCCACCCTACCCCCTGGCTAACTCGGAGCCAAGCGCCATGTTTCCATGGCAACAGCAACCTGATGACCAGTGGCGGCAGGAAAAGAAAAGATAGGAAAACTATCTGTGGCTTTCCAATGTTGTTGTGGAGTGAGTAATGAGAGGAACGAGTTTTCAGAGAGCTCAGTAACTGTTGAAATATGCAGCAGTGAGGACATCAGTCGCTGCTGTTAGCACAAAGTGATCAGTCATTGAATACCATCTGCTGAACAAAAGCCCCTGATCCAACACTTGTATTTTGCTAGTTAGGACAGTTGCACAGTGCACATTGAGATATCCAAGCTGTTTCTTAATGTACATATAAAAATAACCCTCTGTAGTCTTTCTGGCCCTGTCTCTGTCTCTGGGGAGTTTCTCCCCAATGTTTGGTTCAGTGCAGACTGTGCCTGAATGAACTGTATTCTGCTGAGAGTTTATTTTTGTTGTATGCACATCTTTTGCCCAGAATACATTAATAACTTACTCCAATTAGCTTTTGTTGCACTTGCAGCGGCGTGCTGAGTGTGGTTGTGTCGGCTCTCCACTGCTGTCTGTCTCTAGTCTAAGCAGAGGTTGAGCCCCACCCACGGTGAGACTCTGCCACGGGCGGGGCTCAGCCATTGACACACACGGAGCTTATTGCGTTGCTGTGCATCAAAGCTTTGCTAGTAACACGCTGATGTAAACGAAGGATCAGGCTCAATAACACATTAAAACATGCCTTGACCGGCCCCGATACCAGACTCTGAGGTCGGATTGGGACATTCCTACCTGCAACATTAGGAAGCACTGCACTGAGATTGTATGCTATTGAAACTCTTTGTATTGGTACACTCTAAGACTTTCACAGTAAAATGTTCTTGAAGACGTTACATTTCCCCAGAAGGCAAACATTTCCTAGTCAGCCACAGTCCCACAGCTCAATCTGACACTTGTAAGAACACAGGGAATGAAAACAGGCTGCAGAGATAAATAAAAGATCAATTCTGGCATATGACAGAGCTGACTTCCTACCTCAGCACAGGTTGGGTGGATGCCGATCGTGTTGTCCAGCTGCTCCTTGGTGGCCCCACATTTCATGGCTGCGCCGAAGCCCTGAGTCACCTCTCCAGCGTTTGGACCCAGATAGTGGAAGCCAATGACTCGATCCTACAGCGTTACAGTAACACCAGAACACGATCACTCATGTGACAGAACACGGGTACAGGCTTGTGGTTGCTACGGACAGACAGTGTAAACGTAGAGATGATCTTACGCTGTCCAGTTTATTGCAGATGATCTTGGAGTAGCATCTGTTGTTGTCTCTGCCGGGCACAGTGAACTCCAGAGGCCAGAACAGACTGTGGTACACCTGAACAGACAGAGCAGAAACACAGTGATGTTCTATGGTGTCAACAGCAGTAATATCAGTTCAACATCAGTCCCATTCATTATATTCAGGCGGCCACTAATAATGCTCAGCACTCATGACACAGCCAAGGACAAATGTACTGTGTCTGCAATTTCTTCGGAATCTTGAAGAGGAAAATGAAAAGAGGAAGTTAAGTTTTTCTAACTAAATCTGCAGTCAGTCTGGGTGTACGGAGGAGCTCATATTACAGATTCAGATTCAGATTCAGAAATACTTTAATAATCCCAGAGGGAAAACAGTTGAATTATGTAATAATACACCATTATCTGTTCTGGCTCGAATGCTGACGGACCTGCATGAACAAACAAGTATAGGTAAAGATCACTATTTGTACACAGGCAAGCTGCAACTGGAAGGAAAGCACAGACAAAACAGATCCGACTGGACGGGTTTTTTTTAAACTGCTCAAAGGAAACGCAGCCAGCGCTTTTACTCAGTTACTGTACAGCAGTATAAATGTGAGGTACTAGTACTTTCACTGTACCTTTTCATGCCTCCTCCTACTTCACTACAATGGTCTGACAACTTTAATTACTTTACAAATTTTGCATACAAAACATATGGAGAGACTTATCCATAATGAAAATCATCATTAGTTGCAGTTCTATACAAAATGTTTCAAAATGAGCTCTACCTCAACCAACTACAACAGTAAAAACCTGCTGGTACATTAATGCACGAGTCGTAATGCCATCTTGACATCAAATAGTACTTTGAAAGGCATTTCCAGTGAGTCAACATGCACAATAGCAGCACCTTGACTCTTTGACTCTAGGTCGGCTTTATTTATAATATACATATCGTTTAGAGACAAAGTGATTCAAAGCTTAAAATTAAGGACAAATTCTGCAAATGTGTTTCTAGTCAAGTCTACTGGTGTATTACAGTATTATATACATGCATTGATTACAAAGTATGACTATCTTTGAGACACGCTTCACTCCAGCCTGTCACAAGGTTCCCAGTCAGTGAAGCAGAGTTCAATTATTCAGATGAGTGTGAATGTTTGTGTTACCTCGATGTTTTCCTGCCCGTAGAGCTCAGTGGCTCTCTCCTCCGACAGACCACAGGCGCCGTACTCCAGTGGGGTGAAGACAGTGGTGGGAACGTTGATGTAGTCACACTGCACATACACAGACACAGACAATTAATCACTGTTTGCTATATAAAGCCTTTTATAGGTCCACAGCGCACGTGTGTCCTCATGTACCTTGAGTTTTGAGCCCCCGTAGAGGCGTCGTGCCAGCAGCTTGCCGGCCTGGATGGCTACAGGTGTCAGCTCCCACTTGCCTTCCAGAATGTCTCCAATGGCGTAGATGTGGGGCACGTTGGTCTGCTCTTCATCATTCACTGGAATTTTTCCATTCCTGGAGGAACAAAGCATACTTCATGTAAATATAATGCCTTCTTTGTAGAGTAAAATGACATTTACTTTAGCCCTACTAAATAGAGAACATTCTAAACAGACTGATTCTGATTAATGATCCTGATCTGATCATAAAAGGCAACATTTAGGTAGAAAAACAAAACAAGCATTAGGAACAGCTTGAATGTAAGTTTCTTTTTTTCCCCTTTATGCATTGCGGAGCACTTTAATGTACTTGAATTGTGCACTGCACACATGCATTATTTAGGAAAATACAAGTATCTAGTTGGGACTGGGCAAAAAACTTCATCAACAACATCCCTAATTGATCTTTTCTCATCGTTAGCATTTATTCCAATGTATTCTATGTGGCTCATTAAATGCAGCAGAGGATCGTGTTATCCATCAAAAGGCAGAAATCAAATGAAGTGGGTAAGGTAAGGTCATGTTGGACAGAACGGAGAAACACAACTGTAGTATTTTTATAAAGCCCACTGTATTTTACACTGTACAGCAGCGGAACACACAGACCTGCTGATGAACCCTGAACCCAGTGGCTTTCTGACTGTCGGCTTCATCGGAATACTACTTAGGTCATAAGACCGGGGCATATGACTCACCCGGCGCTCCTTTAAGCTGGGCTCATGCAGTCTTAATCCCTGTTGGGCTCTAAGGCTGAACCATTCATTCACAAAATAGTGGAAAGACTAAGAAAAGGCTAGAGTTTCTACACGTGTAATAATGGAATAAATAAATCAACTGCACAACATACGACTTTGAGATTGATTTATAGCGCTACATTTCTAACTTCAGCCTTAAAATTCTAAACGGGCATAAAAAAGGGACAGCAGGATATGTGTGAACCCTGACTGAGTAATAAAATAAGAGCTGACACCATGTAGAATGCATACACCATACAGGGGCTTTCTCATAGTGCTAACAAGACAACCCCTCCTCTCTCCCACACCACCCCTGCAGAGAACCATGGGACGGCAATAATTGCTGAATCACCATGACTGTATCACGAGTCTTAAAGGCACAGGACACCCCACCTAATGGGATGATGAATGTAGGAAAAAAAAGGAGCGAATAAAACTTACTTAGGGTTGACTTTGACCCCGGCCTTGTCCAGGCCAACCTTGTCTGTGCATGCGTCTCGGCCCACCGCTATTAACACCTGAAAACAAAGAGATGGCTTGTTTAAAGGAAGTCCTCGGGGGAAGTTGCTGGTGTTTTATTTTACACATGAATGGTGAAACAACAAAGTAGACTTTAACAGTGTTTGGCATCAACCCTGTGTGAACATCAGAACAACATGGCAGCGCTGTTGGTTTTTGGCATGAAAACTCATCTGTCAAATGTCAAAAATTTAAATACCCAAATTGCATCACAAACTGAAATGTCGACATTCAGCCAATGAAAATACAACATGAACCAACAAAGTTATGGTGGCCTAAAGTGTTCAATCTTAAAAAAGGGAGGTATTTTTCTGTGGTGGCTCTTGGGGTCACTAGGTGGATAGCGTTAGCAGCCCTTGGAAGTTAACCCTTAGGGGTTCCTGGGTACATTTTTCTACCATTCCGTTTTTTATTTTGATGCTATTTTAGCTGTGTTCAGTGAATGAAGCTCA